ATATTTTATAATTTTGGTTTTTGAAGCATATTGCTTTAAAATGCATTGCTAATTATGCATTTAGAATACGTAATTAAGATAATAATTCCCATAGGAGTTTTATTTAAATCATAAAGTGTTTCCTGAGCTTTTTCGGTGTACCATAATGGATATGAATTTAGAATTTAAACAGAGCTATTCATAAAACTTCCTGCAGCAATGGAAATATTCTGTACCTATACTTTCTTTTTTTTTTTTTAATTTTTTTTTTTATAGAGGCATGTTTTTCATTTATTTATTTGTTTGTTTGTTTGTTTTGTTTATACATGCACTGGGCACAGTCAGAAGCGTGGGAGGGTGAGAGAATTCACCAGAGCCAGAGCGGGGAGCAGAGCAGGCAGAAGGACCGAAGGACACTGCTGAGGGGAGCAGCGGGCGGCAGGAGAGGTCTGCGCGCCATATGGGACCCTCCTCTGGTGGCCGGGGAGCAGCCGGGGATCGAACCAGTGCCGCGGAGGCCGCGGGCAGCTTTGCAACCCAGCGCTCAACCGCTGTGCCACCAGGAAGGCCCTGTACCTATACTTTCTAATAGGTTAACTAATAGTCACATAAAAGGTTTTGAGCTCTTGAACTGTGGTTTATGTGACAAAGGAACAAAATTTTAAAATTCTATTTATTTTTAATGTAAATAGCCACTTGTGGCTACTCTATTGGACAGAGCAATGCTACAGATTCCAAATCTTCAAACATTACGTACACAGCCTTCAGTGAACTACTTAACCTCTCCATATAATAGAAATAATTTCTGCATTCTAGGAGAGTTATGAGACCAGGAGCTAATGTATAAAAAGCATTTGCCATAGTTCCTGACAGAATAAGGAATCAATAAATACTGAATATTATTTCTGTGATCACTGTTAGGTATTGTATAAATATCATCAAAGGAATACAAGGATGAGAAAAAATGTAATTCCCATGCTTATGATGTTTATTTGCATTTCATATAGACTTTTCCAAAAGTTTCAACAGCAAGGAGATTTAATGTGGTGGATGCAGTCTGAACAGAAGTGGGGCAGTTGGGGGTGCTTATCTAGGCACAAAACCTGGTTTTTGTTGTTTATCAATAAGCGACTAAGTATAAAATTATCTCAGTTCTACTCTAGAAGTTCTAATTTATATCACTTAATTATGAAATTATATTTTTGTGGTGGTTACAAAAAAATGTAGTTTTAAATGTTTCAGGCTCTGTCCTCAGTGCTTTACATATATTATCTCAAATTCTCAAAAATAACCTTGTAGGCTACAAGCCTATAAGTCATTATCTGAAACCCCTGAGATTGAATATGTTTCAGAATTATATATTTTTCAGATTTTAGAAAGAAATTTAAGGTTTTAACTTCAAGATTTTAATATTCCAGTAATGGAAACACATAGTTACATTAAATGGAATAACTAGGGATTCATGTCAATTTAGATCATATTTTCCTAAACTTGGATGGTGAGATTATTTTGACAGCAAAGAAATTGTGGATGTTTTCAATTTTCCATTTCTGAAATGTGGAATTCCAGATAATTCCATCAACTTGATGTATTCTTATTTGTGCAGGTATTATTAGTTGAACCTGTATCTTTAATCAGGTTTATCTGGTTTCTGTGTTTCATGTTCTATCTTTTTCCACATAAAAAAACTAGGCTTCACTGAGAGCTTAATTTTAATGCTTTTCTCCTTATACTGTGCATGGTAATTATGACTGCTTTTCCACCCCACCCCCCAAATTATGTTTATTGAAGTGAAATGGGTTTGCATCTTTGCTCTGGGAGGTTATATGTTCAAACCTCTGCAAATGTATACTTTCATATCCTACCCACTACCAGTGCCTCAACACCATCTACCATGTTGTATTGGGCTTTTCCATCCCTTACCCCCATCCCACCACTTTCCCCTTCTGGTTTCTCAGTTTTGCAATCAGATGATTAGAGTTTATTATTGGTTTGGTTTTGACTCACTCTTTCCTATTCTCTATTTTCCATATAGAAGTAAGATCATCTTGTATCTGTGTCTTTCTGATTCATTTTGCTTAGCATTATCCTCTCCAGTTCCATCCATGTTGTTGCAAATGGCAGGAGTTCATTCTTTTTTATAGCTGAGTAGTATTCTATCACATGCAGGCAGACACACACCACATTTTTCTGATACATTCTTCTGTCCTCAAGCACTTAGGCTGTTTCTATAACTTAGCTATTGTAAATAAGGCTGCAGTGAACATAGGAGTACATATATGCCTTCCAATTAGTGATTTTGTATTCTTTAGGTAGATCCCTAGGAATGGAATTTCTGGGTCATGATACAGCCATTACTGATATTTTGAGAAACCTCCAAATTGTTTTCCACAGTGACTGGAAGAGTCTACATTCCCACCAACAGTATACAGGATTCCTTTTTGTCTACATCCTTGCTAACACTTTCTATTTCCAATCTTTTTTATTTGAACCATACTCACAGGAATGAGGTGGTATCATTGTGGCTTTGATTTGCAGCACATTCCTGATAACAAGTGATGATGAGCATTTTTTCATGTGCCTGTTGACCATCTGTGTATGGTTTAAAGAAGTGTCTATTTAGCTCTTCTACCCATTTTTTGATTGGGTTGATTATCTTACATGAGATCTTTATATATTTTGGATATCAGCCTTTTGTAAGATATGTTACGGCATTTAATTTTTTTTTTTTTTTGAGGCCTCACTTCATTTCTTGTTTACTGTTCTACTATAAGGCAAACAGTGGTGGGTACTGAGTATTTGTTAATAAATAAATGATTCATCCCATAGATATTCTGAAAGCTCAGTTTCTCAGAGCCCCATTTCATGTCATGGAGTTTTTTAAAAAGCACAGTAGACTAAAAAGCAAAACAGTGACATTATTAGTTTGTATAGATTGCTTTATGTCTGATTTCATGATAAAAGTACAGTCAGTCAAAACAGGTACACATGGAAACTACTGTGTCATTGTGCATGATGTGGAATGGTCATCTGTACAGTCAGTAGTATATGATGTAGATACATGAACATCAGTTGGTATTTAATTTCCTTGCTAGATTTATCATAAAAGCATTGTTTCCTTTTCCATATTTATTAGAACAGTATTCCTCCCTATTTAGTCTTGTTAAAGAGAGTTCTTGGAGGAATTGGGTCTAACTTCAGTGTTACAAGTATTATCTGAATTACGCTGGGAAGTTACAGGTTTATATCCTGATATCAAACATTTGCTCAGAAGGATAAAGTTCATCTTTAGGGTAAAGTAACAAGTTTTCATTTGCATTTGACTATCTATTTTTTTGAGCACTACACTTACTTTCCAGGATTCCTTCTCACTCAGGGATGCACTGTCCCCACATAAAATAAATATGCCTCATTCATAGCACCTACCTTCTCTGTACTGCTTCATTTTCAGGAATTAATACTCCTTCCACCCTGGACTTCCATCCCTTTAGTTGTATATGGTTATCAGCTGAGTTAGGTGATAGGAGAAAAATATCAAGATAAAAATTTCAGACGTTACAGGGAAGAAATCTGGAACAGCATAACCTCATATCTCTCCTTGCTATTCCCTGAAGATTTCATATTCAATTTGAAATTTATATAAACCTCAAAACACCATTTTTGTCCTCCCAGATTTCCCTGACTTTCTTATCATAACCTTTTTCCATAGCTTATCCCCCATAGAAGTTCTGTCTCTACTGGTCCTACAACCTTTTTACTTTTTCCAAGATCTACCACTCTCCTGTTGATTGTTTTCTCAGAAGTTGAGAGTTAACAGGCCCCTTGTATGCACTTCTGCCCCTGATGAGGTTTTGTTCTTTTAAAGACAATGCCACATCTGACTCCATTGCTTTCAATAGAACTTGCTTAACTAGAAAATTGGGGGTGAGGTCACTTGTTAATAAGAAAACTTCCTTTTTCAGTTTGATATTTGATATTGGCTGTGTTCTGTTATCACAATGCTATCTCAAGTGTTTTTAAAGTACATGGATCCTGGACAGGGATCAGAATACTTTTCTACTTGTGGTTGAGGCAACTGACAAATTAAGGTATGTGAGCATAGAGCTTTCTGCTTCCTTCCTTAAAGAATCAGACAGGAGAGATTGGTTGCAACTGGTCAGCAAGACAAAGCCCTGTATATGTGTGGCTGACCAAATTTTACCCTTCTGTTGCAACCATCTGAGTACAGCCTGATCTTTTCCATATATCTTACATATATATCTTACATGATAAGGATAATCACTTAAATTTAGCATCCACTTTTAAGAGTAAAATGGGATGGGGCCTCCCCTGGTGGCACAGCGGTTGAGCTCTGGATTGCGAGGCTGCCCGCAGCCTCTGCAGCACCGGTTCGATCCCTGGCCGCTGGCGAGGGTCCCACCAAAAAAATAAATAAAATAAAAAAATTTTTAAAGAAAGTAAAATGGGATGCCATTAGCATTATGCCAGGACAATTAGAATAATTTATTATCATTCTAAATGTGAATAAGCTGTAATGTTAACTTTAGAAAACTTATTTTTACTGTGTTGATACCTAGTTATTTACAAAATGAGGTTTTATTACTGTTTGATGATGTATATTAAAAAAAATCTTCACTTGATTTTGAAGTTTCTCTTAGAATAATTGCTTTATATCACCTATAACTTTTTTAAAAAGATTTATTTATTTTTATACAAGAGCTGGGGTATAGGCCAGAGGTGCGGGAGGGTGAGTGGATTCACCAGAGACAGAGCGGGGAACAGAACAGGCAGACTGACTGAAATACACTGCTGAGGGGAGCAGCGGGCAAGACAGGAGAGGTCTGCCCTGGCCGGCCAGGAATCGAACCCGCACTGTAGAGGCTGCAGACAGCCTCACAGTGCTGCACTCAACCCGCTGCGCCACTGGGGAGGCCCACATATAACCTTTATTTACAATCATACCTAGATTTTTTTCATGTCCCCACAAACTAGAAATGTTTTTATTCTTATTTTCGATGCAGATGCAGAGTTTACAGGGTGGTACAGAAGCCATAGCCCGATTAGATCAGTTAGAAGCTGATTATTATGATCTGCAACTTCAGTTGTATGAAGTACAGTTTGAGATCTTGAAGTGTGAAGAGTTACTATTGACAGCACAACTGGAAAGCATCAAAAGACTTATATCAGGTATGGTTTGCATTTAACCATGTAAGTCCACACAAGCTTTAACACATAGAAAAATGTACGTGGATGTCAAGAAACATATTGAATATGTTTCTTCTGAAGAGGCTAAAAAAAAAAAATAATGTAAAAACCTTTGAAAGGAGATCCTAAAGTCCAACAAGTAGTTTAGTAGACTCAGCAATGAAAATACATGCTACATCCTTTGTAAATTACTTTTTTTTGGGGGGGGGTGGGAAGAGATTAAAAGTGCTTCCTCCAGAATCTAGATTCTCAAGTTGTTAATTTTGTGGGAGGGGACTAATATTTAACATTTATTGATCACTTTTCCAGGTACTGCTAAGCTCTTTACAAATATGCAGTTACTCTATGAGGTGTATTTCTTAATCATTATTTTACCAAAACACTCAAAAGGTAATGGCTTCACCTAAGAGGTTTTAGAGCCAATAATTGGATTAGAACCCTGTTCTGTCTGGTCTCACAGCCCTTTCTTTTAACCACCCCTTGTTTGCCGTTCTGTAACAGAAAAGAGAGATGAAGTGGTGTACTATGACACTTACGAAAGCATGGAAGCCATGCTGGAGAAGGAAGAGATGGCAGCATCTGTGCATTTACAGAGAGAAGAGCTACAGAAACTTCAGCAGAAGGCACGCCAGCTAGAAGCAAGACGTGGACGGGTTTCAGCCAAGAAAGCCTACCTCAGAAATAAAAAGGTAAAATAGATTAAATATAATGCTAACCCAGTATATCACTAACACTTACACATCTCTTAGAATTAAAGAGTTACCTCTTCTCAGTAATCAGGCCATTATATACATATATAGCTCTCTGTGAATTGCCTTCTTAAACACATTAGAACAGCCAGTGGTAGTATGTTGTTCACCTCAGCCACACTACACATGACTTTATTAAAGGAAGTAACTATGGGATCCCACATAATACATTTCCTAGCTTCTTTTTTATTTAAGGATGCCAGTGGTATTCTCAGTATTGAAGATTATTTACTTATTTGCTTATAACTTTGATCACATTTCTAAATTTTTGTGCATTTTAATAATTTGGAATGGAATTATTTTGTGGAAGTAAGACTTTCTTTGTCCTAGAAAAATGTTTTCCTTTGTAGTCCACATGTTATTATCATAAGGTTGTTTCTCATCACTGTAAGTGTGGGCTTGAAATCTTGAACCAGTTCTGTCACCTATACCAAACTGATAACTGTGTCGTACTGATTTACTTTGAACTCATATATTCAGACAAAAATGTGGCATTTGTGACTGACATATTCTCTGAGACTCTACCTGTCTGTTCTTCATCAAATCCCTATACCACAGAAAATCAAAGCCCTTTACTTTTTTAAATAATAGCTTTTATATACTGAAGAAACCTAAGCAGGCATCTTCCACAGTATGTCAAAAACCCAAGACATTTGCCCATTAACACAACAATTTCTTGGCACCCAGAGCCATGGCTTTCTCACAGTTGACATAATGCTGAACTTTTCCAATTCCACAACACAAGGCAAGCTCTGCTCTTGGTGGTTATGAGGATCCCATCTGTACCTGCCAAATATACAGTGTAGATGATTCCAGCAAGTTCTAACACTGTACAGTGTAGAGTAGTATAGACAGCAGAGAGAAAGGTTTTAGGGAAGAATGAAATGAAAGTATATTATTAGGAATATTGGAAGTACTGTTTTACATATTATTTTAACTCAGTACTTTAGTGATTAGATGGAGTTTGTAAACCTGAAGATTTTTGAGAGCATTTTTGAAAGTATTATACAAATCAGACTTCAGAGATAATTCATTTCAATTCAACAGCCTGCTAAGCACATCATCAGGCTTGAGTTACAAAGATCAGCAAGGCACAGTTCTGTTCCTCCCAGTCCTATATAAAAGGGAAACCAGGTCAACAGATGAATGTGATGCCACCTGACACCTGAACAAGAGAAAAGGGAATGAAGAAAGGTCCCTTGGACTGGATTTTAAGAGTATGAATAGAAATTTGGCAGGTTGATGGTATGAGGATAATTCCAAAGAGAAAAAAGTTGTGTTACACAAAGACATTGAAGCATAAAACAGCACTGTACTTTGTAGACATAAGGGACTGAGTTATGGGGAGTTTGTATAATGCTCCAATAAGCCTGGACTTTGTCCTGAAAGTATTGTAGTTATAGAAAAGTTTTAAGCAAAAGGGTAATATAAACAGATTTATATTTTAGAAAAATGAGGCAACATGAAGAATAACTTAGAGGAAGAAAAGACTGAAAGGTTTATGGTTGGAATGTGTTAGTATCCAGGTTGAGATGCTAAGAGTATGGTAGTGTAAGTGATAGTAGTATAATAATCTGAGATGTGTCCAGATCTGACACTTTCCAGAATTCACTGGGAGAGAGGAGGATCTATTCTGCAACAGCTTCCAGATTTCTGGATTAGGCATTGGATGGATGGGAAAACCCAGAGGAAAAGCATATATAGTTTAGAGGTGAGGAGCCAAATTTTATATTTATTAGGGGTCTCTGGGGTATTTATGTGAAGGTGGCCATGAGACATCAGTTGAAAATGAGAACCTTGTAAGAGTGGGTGAGGTGGTACCAGAAAACAGAACTGAGTAGGTGATTCTTAGCAGTAACTGGGGTGGGGAACTTTTGAAAATGTGGTCAAGAGGAAATAAAAGAGAAAGAGTAATTGGGAGTTATGAGAAACAGAAAGAATAAAGTCACAGAAGTGAAAGAAAGATGATTTACAAAACAAAGGTGGACAGCAGTGTCAGGTCCTTCAGGGAAGTCAAGGAAGAAAGAAATATATTCATATCTGAGACCACTGATGGCCTTACTTAGAGTTTTGGGAAGACAATTAGGGACAAGAGCCAGATCACACTGGTCTGAGAGAATACAGCAGAGTTTTAGAGTGAATACTCAAAGGCTAACAGAGAGAGCTGACTACACATACATAAGTGGCCCTCAGTAAAGAAGAGTAGCTTTGTTGACCAGGTCGCTTGAAGGCTGTGTACTTTTCTAGCAGCATTGTCTTCTGATTCAGACCTAACTCTTCCCTCATTGGTATATACTTAGTTCATTTCGATTTTATCCATATTCATCACTTCTCATTCTTACATTAATCTAAATCCTAGATAGGAAACTTAACCTCCAAAGAACCTGCACATTTACACCAGCAGCCTCAAATTCACTACTCATCACATTACTCAGAGTCAGAGGACTCTAAGTGGTCTTGTCTCTGCTCCTGTCTTCACAAGCCCACCAGTCAAGGTGGCAGAACTTTAGAGAGGAGTAGTGATAGAAGAAGGAAACTAGTAACACTAAGTTCTAAAAATAGAAAATGAGATCAATCATAAAATCAAAAAACAAAAATATGCCTCTTTTTAATATTTTCCTATATTCCTTGTCATCTGCATGTCAATATGCCTAGAGTTACCATCTCCTGAGTGTCATGATGTGATAGGATACTCAAGGGTAGTTCTCATGTTATAACTAAAGGAACCAAGACGTCCAGTAATTAAGCAGACAATCCAAGGACTATTGGCTAGTATGGACAAAGTTAGCATTTTATTCTAAGTCTGTATGACTTAGAAGGTTGAGTCATTATATCACTGTTATGTCACCATAAAGAACTCTCAGTACCATTGTTTTCCCCTGGAGACTACCCTAAACAGATTCATTTCACAGTTGATACTTAAACCCCAGTGTGAGTAAAGAATGTAATATAACAAACAGTTGCCTTAAAATACAGTTTACTGACTTACAAGGTCATTCATTATATAACTTTTTCTGCTTAGGAGAGTGATCTTTTGGTATAACTTTGAAAGTATTGGAAACTGGTGTGAGGACTTTTCCTTCTAGAAAAGTTGCCAGTTGATAGTGAATTATTTTGTAAAGAAGTGCATATCTTATTTTATATTTACTTTCATATGATTCTATTTCATATTTACTTTCATATGATTATCAGAATAAGTATGCCTTTATTTTTTTAATAATCCTTTTAGTCTTTAACGCTCTTTGAGCTCTGAAGTCTATAATCAGAAGATTCAGATTTAAATTAGTCTGGGAAAAATCATAGTATTTTAGCACATTAGAGAGAGCTTCAGAATATAGACCTATATCCAGAGTTGTATGTAATTTTTTCTCAAACTAAAGTATACAATAAGACTTAGAATCTTCTTACCATAGACTTCAGAACTGAAAGAGTCCTTTGAGATTATTTAAGGTATCCACTCTACCTTACTCCATTTGACCTCTTCCCCCACCAAAAAAGGGAGAAATCAGGACTTGTAGAGAAGTGAATCATTTAATAGAAGAGTCTTTAAAACCTGATTATTTCATTTATGCTGCTTCAACCAGATAAGAAACCAGAGATGACTTACACAATATTGTATACATAGGTATATCTTAAGATTAAGCTTTAAATTATAGATAAATCCTGGTGTGGTGTTTTGAGACTTTCCAAGTTTCACTTACATTAAAAACATAATTTATGTATTTATAGGAAATTTGTATTGCAAAACACAACGAAAAATTCCAGCAGCGCCTTCGGAGTGAAGATGAATATAGAACCCATCATACAATACAACTAGTAAGTTGTGACTCTTGGAAACTTAGAGCAAAGTTTCAATTTTTACATGTCTCAGAGTGAATAAAACCTGTAGAGAACAAGAAATTGTTATAACTATTGATAAATGTTAGTTATTCAGTAACTACAAATATATGTATATATTTTATTTCTTTAGGGAAAATTGAGTAGAAAATACAATTCCCAAATACCTCCACAAATGCATAGCTTCCCCTACCACCCAGATATCATACATTAACACATCATTATCACCCTAAGTCCATATGAAGGTTCTTTCTTGGTGGTGTATGTTCCATTGGTTTGGCAACTGTATAGTGATAGGTATCTACCATTATAGTATCATATAAAATATTTTCACTGTCTTAAAAATTCCTGGTGCTTCACCTGTTCACCCTCATGTCTCCCCAAGCACCTGGCAAGTATTGATCTTTTTACCATCTCCGTAATTTTGTCATATTTAGAATGTATAATTGGAACATAGTTTATAGACTTTTCAGATTGGCTGCTTTCACTAAGTAATATGCATAAGTTCTTCCGTGTCTATTCATGGCTAGATAGCTCATTTCTTTTTAACATGGACTAATATTGAATAAATGTATCAGTTTTTTTTTTTTTTTTTTTTTTAATAGAGGCATGCTTTATTTATTTGTTTGCTGGTTTGTTTTGTTTGTTTTGTTTATACAAGCACTGGGTACAGTCAGAAGCGCGGGAGGGTGAGAGAATTCACCAGAGCCAGAGCGGGGAGCAGAGCAGGCAGAAGGACCGAAGGACACTGCTGAGGGGAGCAGCGGGCGGCAGGAGAGGTCTGCGCGCCATGTGGGACCCTCCTCCTGTGGCCGGGGAGCAGCCGGGGATCGAACCGGCGCTGCAGAGGCTGTGGGCAGCTTCGCAACCCAGCGCTCAACCGCTGCGCCACCGGGGAGACCCTCAGTTTTTTTTTTTAATCCATTCACCACTGGAAGACATCTTGAGTGATGCAAAGTTTTGGCAATTATGAATAAAGCCACTATAAACATCTGTGCAGGTTTTTGTGCTCCCATAAGTTTTCAACTCTTTTGGGTAAATACCAAGGAGCATAATTGCTGGATTATATGGTGAAAGTATATTTAATTTTGTAGGAAATTGCCAGACTCTCTTCCAAAAGTGGCTGTATTATCTTGCATTTCCACTAGCAATGAATGAAAGTTCGTATTATTTCACATCCTCACCAGCATTTGGTTGTGTCATTGTTTTGGATTTTAGCCATTCTACTAGATGTGTAGTAGTATCCCATGTTTGTTTGTGTAGTAGTATCTCACAATTCCCCAATTGTATGAGATTGAGCATCTTTTCATACTGCTTATTTACCATCTGTATATCTTTTTTTGGTGAGAGGTCTGTTCACATCTTTTATTCATTTTTAATTGGGTTATTTCTTGTTAAGGCTTAAGAATTCTTTGTATATTTCTAGATAAGTCCTTTTTCAGATCTGCCATTTGCAAATATTATTCTCCTGGTCTTTGGCTTGTCTTTTTATTCCCTGACAGTGTTTCTCAGAACAGATGATTTTCATTTTAATATAAGTCCAACATCAATTCTTTCTTTGATTGATTCTACCTTTGGTGCTATATCCAAAAAGTCATCACCAAGGTCATACATATTTTGTTCTATGTTATATTCTAGAAGTTTTATAGTTTCATATTTTACATCTAGGTTTAAGATTCATTTTGAGTTACTATTTGTAAAGGTTGTGAGGTGTGTGGCTAAATTTTTTTACTTTTTTTTTTAGGGACATGTGATATAGTTTTCAGGTTTTTTCCTTGGTGCTTGATAGCACTAAATCCTATTTAGCATGCCTGCTGTACTTCAACTTTTTTTTTTGTTAGTGCTTAATGTACTACCCGATTTGACAGGTAGTCTATGAAAAATGGAATTCCCTTATCTTTACCTTTTCCCTGCCACATTACTGTCTTAAATGATACCTTCACACACTATATTACTTTTTTTTATTTCATGATCTTAAAATTTTTTATTGATTTTTACTTAACATTTCTTAATATAGTCCTGTTACCTAAGCAAGCTAGGTTTTTACTAAAGTGGTTGACTATCTTGATGTCTGTGTATAAATTTTGGTCACTAAATCAGATTTTTAAAAATTTCCTAAACACTTCTTCACTGCTACTTTAAAAATTCTTCTGTTATGAACATTGTTAATTAATCTAAAAATGTTCCTTAGTCACTTATGTATGTTAAAAAAACTTGTATTTATAAAAAGGTATGTATGACCATTATAAAAAATTAAAGCGATACAGAAAAAAGTTACAAAGAAAAAAATCAGTGCCAAAATAGATTATTCTTTTAATAGAACAACTTCAGTGAGTTTGAAAAAACTACTAAAATTTAGATAAACTTGTTGACCATAGCAAGAGATTTGGAAAAACCTTGAGTATTGTGATCATAGTTTTATAATTATTTCAACTTTAGACTTGGTCTATGAAATGACGAAATTATTACACTTGTACTTTCTCCCAGCTCCCCCTTCTCGCCATCTCCCAATATTTTATAAATCTTCACAATCTGAATACAGTGATATAACTTTTATATTCTTTATTTCATATAATCAAGATTCAGTTAATTCATGGGATCATGAAGTTTTTTGGGTTCATCTTTGTATTTACATGGATTCAATGCTTAATGTCAAGTCCTCTTATGACTTCTCTATGCCTGGGTTTGTTTTGATTCATCTTGGAGTTGGTAACGTTTCATTAAGGTGCTATATCAGAGAAGTTGCATGGTTGCTATAGTGTCTGACTTCTGGCATGCTTGGGGAATGTTTCCTTTATATCTAAAGGACATTTTGGCTGGGTCATACAGTCATAATTCCTCTCCATCAAAATTTGGCAAATATTGCTGTGCTATCTTGTAGCCTTGAAGATTGCAGTGAAGAGGTCTGAGGCCTCATGGCATTCTTTCCTTTTCATCACTTGTAAGATTTGACATCCTGGACATCCATAAGAGTCTTTATTGTGGAAATCTAGTGAATTTACCGGTGATCATTATGTATTGAGTTTTCCTAAAACTTGATATATACTTTCAGTCTGAAGATTCAATTCAGTCCTTTAGATTTTGACATAATCTTCCAAGGCAAATGTAGCAGAACTCACATTCAAACTATATTGTTCAGGGAAATGCTGATGGGAAAGAAGAGAGAGGTAATAGAATAAGAGAATAATGGGGGATTGAATTTGAATAGACACTTGATGAATGAAAGACAGATAGGTTAATGACACACAAGAAACCATCATCTCCATGTGAAATTACCTGGCTTTACAAACAAAACAGAAAAATAAAGCCATGGCTCATTTACCCATCTAGAAAGATTTTTCATGTATTTAATATTTGTTCTATCACATGAGATTTAATTAGATAGCTTGTTAGGTGATTCAACAACATAGGAAAATGTTAAATTTCTGTATAGATAACTGCTAACTACAAGCTATGATAGTAAACCAAATGATTTGTATATAATGCTGGAAGTGTTTTTTTTTTTCCCCTGCCATTTATATTGCTATATATGTAAATATGTAATTTTTAAATTACTGACCAAGTATTTGCTGGTTTTATTTTTAAGGTCAGGTGTTTGAGTTAGCAGACTATAACAGCTACAAATATTTCATACTAAAATTATTTTAAGACAGAACCCCCTAAATGAAACATTTTCTAATTTAGAGAATATTTATTTTACTTTGCAAAGTAAATATCTTTAATGTAATAAATGCCAAAAAATGAAATAGCATATCATTGTGAATTTTAAAATTTCTATTAAAAATTAATACTGGGGCCTCCCCAGTGGCGCAGCGGTTGAGCGCTGGGTTGCGAAGCTGCCCGCGGCCTCTGCGGCGCCGGTTCGATCCCCGGCTGCTCCCCGGCCACCGGAGGAGGGTCCCACATGGCGCGTAGACCTCTCCTGCCGCCCGCTGCTCCCCTCAGCAGTGTACTTCGGTCCTTCTGCCTGCTCTGCTCCCTGCTCTGGCTCTGGTGAATTCTCTCACCCTCCCGCGCTTCTGACTGTACCCAGTGCATGTATAAACCAAACAAACAAACAAATAATAAATAAATAAATAAATAAGACATGCCTCTAGAAAATTAAAAAAATAAATAAATAAAAAATAAAAATTAATACTATTTCATGCCATAGAACATTTTGTTTTAACACATCATTCTTTGGAGTTATCCAGTTTACTGGGAGAACTCTCTTTTTCCCTATTACTAATAAAAATGAATGGGACATATCGTAATGCAATTATTCATGTTTTACCAGAAAAGAGAAAAATTACATGATGAAGAAGAAAGAAAAAGTGCCTGGGTTAGCCAAGAAAGACAGAGAACATTGGATAGACTTCGAACTTTTAAACAGGTAACAAAAGTATGGTCAATTGATTTTCATTGCTTTTTTTTTTTTTTTTTTTTTTTGCTTTTTATTTTTTTTATTTTTTTTTTTTTTTTTTTTATTAAATTTTATTTTTATATTCCCCCATACAATTGCAAACGCCCCATTCTGACCCCAATCCTTCCCCTCCCGCCCCCCACCCCCCAAAAGTGTCTCTGGTTCATAGTTTTTTGTTGATTTTGATTTTCACTTTCTTATATTCATTTTCCTGGTCCCTTATTTAAGTTTTCTAGATTCCTGCTATGAGTGAGACCATCCGGTATTTTTCTTTTTCTTTTTGGCTTATTTCGCTGAGCATGATCCCTTCCAGTGCCATCCACGTTGCTGCAAATTGCATGTGTTTATCTTTTTTGAATGCTGAGTAATATTCCATGGTATATATGTACCACATCTTCTTGATCCAGTCATCTATTTTTGGGCATTTGGGCTGTTTCCAAAGCTTAGCTATTGTAAACAGTGCTGCTATAAACATAGGAGTGCAGGTGCTCTTTGGAATTGATGTTTCTGTGTCCTTTGGGTAAATACCTAGGAGTGGAATTGCTGGATCATATGGAAGCTCTATGTTTAGTAGGTCCAGAAATCTCCACACAGCTCTCCATAGTGGTTGGACCAGTTTGCACTCCCACCAACAGTGCACAAGAGTTCCTTTTTCTCCACATCCTCGCCAACATTTGTTGTTGCTAGTTTTTTTAATATGTGCCATTCTCACTGGTGTGAGATGGTATCTCATGGTAGTTTTGATTTGCATTTCCCTGATTACAAGTGATGTTGAACATTTTTTCATATGTCTGTTGGCCATTTGCATTTCCTCTTCAGAGAAGTTTCTTTTTAGCTCTTCTGCCCATTTTTTGACTGGATTATTTTCTTTGTTGTTGCTGAGTCTCATCAGCTCTTTGCAGATTTTTGTGATCAGTCCTTTATCATTAGTGTTGGGTGCAAAAATGTTCTCCCAGTTGGTGGGGTTTCTCTTTGTTTTTGTTATTGTCTCTTTTGCTGTGCAGAAGCTCTTTAATTTGATGTAGTCCCAGCTGTTTATCTTTCTCTTCACTATCACTGCTTTGGGTGATGTGTCTGTAAAGATGTCTTTGATGTGCAAATCACATAGTGTTTCGCCTATATTTCCTTCTATGTATTTTATGGTTTCAGGTCTTATGTCTAGTTCTTTAATCCATTTTGAGTTGATTTTTGTGTATGGTGTGAGGTAGTGGTCAAGCTTCATTCTTTTGCATGTAGCGACCCAGTTTTCCCAGCACCATTTATTGAACAAACTTTCTTTGCTCCAATGCATAGTCTTTGCTCCTTTGTCAAAGATTAGTTGACCATAAATCTGTGGGTTTATTTCTGGATTTTCTATTCGATTCCATTGGTCTGTATGTCTGTTCTTGTTCCAATACCATGCAGTTTTGATGCTTTTTAAATAGAACTACATACACATTTCCTATTGTAAGATTTCTTTGTATGAAAAAATACTTGTTTTTCCATTTGTTGTTTAGAAAACAATTGTAAGTTGTGGCAGTCATTTAAAAAAAAATTTATCAATGTTTTGATTACATGATTACATTTCACCTGATTACATTTCCAGAATTAATATTCTCCCTTAGCTTACCACATTAGTATAGCATAAGAGGAATGGTCAGGGCCTTTGAGAAACCTGGATTCCTCCTGAGTTTTACATAAATAGTTCACAAATGACTATCCATTTCAAGCATCAGCTTGTTAATTGCACATGCATCAACCTGTGGTAATAATTTATGGAAATGACCAGTGACCAAATTAGAGAGTGGATCAGGATACATGAAAAATGCTTCAGACATTCTCTTACCAGGCTAACCCATGACTCTGGGCACTGATATCACAGCAGGTAGATGGTACCTTGGAACTGTGCTTAAGCTGAATGGTTCTCCTTGCTGAATGGTTCTCCTTGCTGAATTGCTCAGGAACCTGGATATGTGCAGATAGATCACTTAATAGTTTAGTAAAGAATGTTTTTGTTCAAGCCCTCATAATGCAAGGTAGGGGAAGGGGAGAAAAAGAGATCCATAATGCAAGGAAAAACTTGTGCTGAGTAAAGGTAGTTCTACCAAATGTATTAAAGCCATGGTCTTCCTACAGTAATAGATAAAGAATGAGAGTTGGGTATGTCAGTACTCCAAATGTATTTATTCTCTTTCCTTCTATTCTACTGTAAAATACACATTGTTTTCAGAGTTTTTTTAAAAAAGCCAAGTAGCCTTTTGGAAAAAAAGTTAATGTTTTAGTATTTTCATCTATAAGCATTTGGCATACATGTAAGAAATTAATAGTAGTTTCTTAACTTTCTGTATACCTATAGCATATATTTGCTTGACATCACTTATGTTTTGTACTTTTTATTGCTATTTTCATTTAAATTAGTAATTTATCTGGGAAATTTTTTAAACTGATATATTATTATGAATAGAATTTTAGTGTATCATACTATATAAATTTCAGTAGTACAACTTCAAAAAGTCATGTAATTTTGAACAGTTGACTTCTAACGTGGATAAGAAGGAATAAGACTTTGCTAAATAGTTTGGTGACATATTTGAAAGGCTAATGCTTTGTAGTCTGGTTGTATATATAACTTTATTAAAGAATTTTCCCTGAAAAGTCACAAAAGTTCCAAAATAACATCTTGCATTTGAAAGCAAAAACAGCCATTTATTCATAAATTGTTTAATACAATTTAGCCAGTAATAATAACTTGATTTTTTAGAGGTACCCTGGCCAAGTTATTCTGAAATCAACCAGGCTGCGACTGGCTCATGCAAGAAGAAGAAGTGCGGCCAGTCCTGTGCCCTGTGAGAACCAGTGTGACTCTCTACCAGGAGCACTACAGGTAGAAGAGAAAAGTGAGGGGGTAGAGGAAGAAAAAGGCAAGTTTGGGTCATCACAGATAACAGAGGCCCAAATCCTCGCACAACCTGATCCTTCATTAGCACAACTTGAAGCCACTTCATTACCTCTCAGTGGTGTTACCTCTGAATTGCCTCCCACTGTCTCTCTCCCACTTATGAATAATATTGAACTTGAACCAGGTTCTGTTACCATAGATCCACTCCCATCATCTACTCCTTCCACACCACCTCCCCCACCACCACCTCCTCCCCCTCCCCCACCACCACCACCACCACCACCACTGCCTGTTGCTAAGGACAGTGCCCCAGAGACACTGGACAAAGGTCTGCCTAGAATGGAGGGGATTGAGAAGAGGATCCCAAAGTCTGCAAGTGCCCCCTCGGCACAACTCTTTGACAGCAGTCAGCTGGTCAGTGCAAGGAAGAAGCTCAAAAAGACTGCTGAAGGTTTACAGAGGAGGAGAGGTAGGTTAAGATGTTTTATGCTCATCTGTTTGAATAAAGTGATGTGTTATTTGATAGGGCATTTTTTTTCATGGGACCTTACAAAGCTTAAAATATTGTGTTTTTGAACATTATTTGATAGCAAACAGGTTGTCAAGGTTGTGGCAGGGCAAAATTCTTACCAACCCACATCAAAAAACGTGTAGACACAGATAGGTGTACCTTCTTGAGCTCTTAGGCATGTTTTAAAAAAAACTATCTTCTGAAGTGATACTTTATCTACTTAGTAATATAGATATGTGGCTCCTTTTGTGTTAGAAAGAAAATCTGATTTTAAACTTGGGAAATGAAAAATGGTATTGATATCAGAAAAGGTAAGCTATCTGGTCAGGACTTTCACATTAGGATGACATTGGCAGGACCATGTAACATCTGACCAATATTTATCGAACACCTGGGTTTATGTTTTGTATAAAGATGCAAAGAAGAATACCAAGTGATGTGCACAATTTATTGTATGCCAGATATGCCTTATAAAGCTATTTTTGAAAACTGGATAATCCTGTCTCAAAAAGCTTTTAGCTTGCATAGGGAGAACATTTTATAAAACAATTTGCATGTTTTTTATTTTGAGAGACCAGCCTGTAAAATATTTCTTTCTATACCCAATTAGCATTTCATATGTAAAACAACTAAATTAAAAAAAAATAGCCAAAATTTAATTTTTTTAATTAAATATGTAACCCAATCACTGTTTACATTTAGATTGGGTTGGTACAATACAGAAATCCCTTGGGAGTTTCATCTATATTACTAAAGATCACCTCTCACCTCCTAATCTCCTTATTTCTTGCACATGGGAACGGATAAGGAATACCAATAATACCTAACATGGAAATTCAGTGTTGGAGTTTTTTTTTTAAACAAGCAATACTAGGATCCCCTGTGATCTGACAACCTTTTGTCCACATTTCATGATCCATTTTGTAGATGTAGTTTCTCTTGTTCTAGGCTTACAGTCCTAAAGGCTAGAGATTATATAGTTTAAGTGTAATCCTAACTATAATTGTTCTTTCTCATTTTCAAAAGTGAGCTCACCCATGGATGAGGTGCTAGCTTCCTTGAAGCGTGGTAGTTTTCATCTGAAAAAGGTTGAACAGCGAACTCTGCCTCCTTTTCCTGATGAAGATGACAGTAATAATATCTTGGCACAAATAAGGAAAGGGGTAAAGTTGAAGAAGGTACAGAAGGAAGTTTTGAGAGAGTCCTTCACACTTCTACCTGACACAGACCCTCTAACACGGAGCATCCATGAAGCTCTTAGAAGAATCAAAGAAGCATCCCCTGAGTCAGAGGATGAAGAAGAGGCTTTGCCTTGCACAGACTGGGAAAACTAACAAGTAAATGGTCTTATTTTCTTCAGTAGCATTTAGTAATACAGTTTTTATATAGAAAATAAGGTCTGTTACATCTTATTGAGTCTGAGCATCATTATTTACTATACAATTATAGCATGGATCATAAATTTGTAAACTTCAAGTTTTACTTCCATAATTACTAGAAACTTTACAGAATAGCACTTTCAAAGGTATTGGCTATTTAAATGATAGGTTTTTATATCCTGCTTATTGAAAATTTCTGCAGTATAGCTATATGCCGAGTAAAGAGGAAAGTGAAAAATTTTTAAAAAATTTAAAAAAAATTTAAAAATCACACATTTCTTCTTTAAAAAAAATAAATAAAGAGGAAAGTGACAGTCTTATTCTAGCTTTACAAAACAGAAGACTTTTTCAAACTGAAGTATTTTGGTTACAAGCTGTTACATATATTGCTGTGTTATTAGCAGCCCTCACAGGAATTTTCTAAGATCAGCCATGAAAAATTGTTGTACTGGTAAACTAAGGTTTATCATTTTAAAGCTCATCATACTTATTGCAGTCTCTAAAAATTGTGCACATATCTTACTGAGTACACCTTGGATGTTGGTTACACATTTGGCATTCTCCTAAGATAATAGAGAGCACCACTCTACTACATTTTAATAAGCTAATTATATAGTAATGTGGCACAAATTAGCTAAATTATAGAAACATGACTATAACACATGCTATAAATTACATAGTACATAGAATTGGTAGTGATAACTGAAATAGTGTAATTAATGCAAAATATGAAGTATGCAAACATATTCATTAATTGTTATGTGGTCCTGATGGAATATGTTTCTGTTGACTTTATAATACTCACCAAAATTGGAGAAGACTCAAAATCCTGGAGTGAGTAAAGAAGTAATTAACTTACTCATTAAACATAGTGATTCTCAGTGTGCCTGATCATAAGAATTAATCTGGGGAGCTTAAAAATACAGATTTCTGACCTTCGTCCGAAGGATCATGACTGAAAAAAAAAAAAAAAAAAAATATATATATATATATATATATGTGCAGATATACATCTGGATTTTGAAGACTTAATACAAAAGATAAACTGTCATTATTTTTTTAATATTAATACAGGTTGAAAGATACTATTTTGGATATTAAATATAAAATATTACTAAAAGAAATTTTATATGTTCCTTTTGGGGATTGCTTTGTTAGGAAAATGTTACTGTACTATGCTCCCAATTCTGCCCCTTTTCATCAGTAACCTACGCCAATCAGTAATATTAACAAGAGTGGGAAGTCACATTTCTCTTGATAAATGGTTGTGTGTTGCCTTTAATGTGCTTTAGCAAACATTCAGTAGTACCACTTGCCCTGCTCTGGGTCTTAGGCTGTTGGGTATCAGTTTTCTTTGTTGTTATTTATAGAGGGCCTGTTATCATTCACTTTGACTTAGTATTCCTAAATCCCAAAATAATTTCAAACCATTTGTGCTTTATACATATGTACACCGTGGGGAGTAAAGGAAATACATCAGGTGTCTACTCAGTGTGTGAAGTGTCTAGAGACTCAGGTATGTGTCTAGGAATATTCACACTGGGTATTTGTAGATTGTCTCCCATTTTACAGTGTTTGCTACCTATTGCCTTGTCTCCTTCTTGTAACTTCTCAGTAAGCTGCTAAGGTTGTCCAATTTTACCATTTTAGCACTAACCATTGATCCCACAGCTAGGCCTTCACATAAAATGAGCATTTAACTCTTTCATTACAGAGTGTCGCACTCAGAGTACATGGCCACCAGCAGCTACTTAGACCAGCCCATCTCTGCTTGTTTTCTCCCATCTCACCAGATCCAGCCAAACATATAGATGTTGTATAGCATTTCATCTATTCAGTTGACTGGAATGTTATTTATAGTTTTTGGCTGTTAATTTGACCTTATATCAAATAGTAAGAATATAATCCATAATGAATACCACTTTGAAAAGTTCCTAAAACTTTGTTTTTCTTGGCTGATTCTTATGGCTTGTGTGTATAGTATGTTAAGAGAAACAATGAAATACTATGAGAAAGTATATGAGCTCAGATAACCTGCAAAGTCACTTTTAAAAGAGAGCATATCCTGGTGCGCAGACCTCTCCTGCTGCCCGCTGCTCCCCTCAGCTGTGTACTTCGGTCCTTCTGCCTGCGCTGCTCCCCACTCTGGCTCTGGTGAATTCTTTCACCCTCCCGCGCTTCTGACTGTACCCAGTGCTTGTATGTATAAATAAATAAATAAATAAATAAATAAATAAATAAATAAATAAATAAATAAAATCTTTAAAAAAAAAAAAAAAGAGCATATCCTGCTCTGGAAGCAAACCATAGACTAGTTAAAACCCCCATGTGTTGAGCGGGCAGTGTGTGTTTTTCTGAAATCATTTTTTAAGACTCCTCTTCAAATGACTAAAAAGGCTATAAATTTGTACTTCCTGTTATTCCATTTATTGTAGATTTCAAATCATTGAATACTTTTTTGTGTGAAGAGCTCATTTCTCAAAACTTCATGAATAAAAAAGTAAAGGTCCACTTACCTGCCTCTTGGTTCTCTAAAAACTCTTCCCAGAAGTAGCCATAAGTAATAGTGTCCTTGAAGGGGAATAGTGTCCTTGAAAGGAAATAATGTAATTATTTGGACTTGAGTTTCAAATTTGTTTCCCACAGGCTCCTTAAATATATTTAGTAAGTATAAATGGTGCTATCTGATAGAAATACAGCATGAGCACAGATATAATTTTTAAATTTTCCTAATCAGTCATTTAAAGCAAAAAAAATGGGGTGATATTGATTTTGTTAATACCTATTTTACATGATATATCCAAAATAGTATCATTATACATATTACAAATATAAAAAAAGTCTTGATGTAGTTTACCCTTTTTTGTATTGTTTTAATCCAATGTATATTTTATACTTACTAATAGCACCTCTCAGTTTGGACACTGAGTATTCAGTTATTAAAGTGAAATGTCCTTACCAAAGCAATAAAATGATATTTAATGGACAAAGATTTTATACTGCTCAGAGTTTAAGTCAAACTAAAAATTCAGTTCCTTATTCACTAGCCAATTTTCAAGTGCACAATAGCTATATCTATCTATAATATTAGGTGATGCAGAATAAGTTGGCACTTTACACATGTGCATCCTAGCTTTTATCTGAAAAAGAGGACTTTTATATGTATAGGCTCCTGTGCCATAAATATGTCTCACACAACTATTTTGAATTTTTAAAAGTCCTGGTAAAGCCACCATTTAAAGACCAGACTGATCCTGTCTTCTAAATATCAATATAACAAAAATTGCTCTCTTGTGAATTTAAAAGATTTCATGTAATAGTTCATATTATACTGGCAATAGATGGGGCAAATATTTTAGATTGCATATTTCTTTTTAGTATAAGGTTTTGACTTAAAATGTTAAAGAATAAACGTGAAAATGAATCTGAAATACAGCCTTTTAATGGTGATCAAAAGTCCATATTCCAATAACATCTGTCACTTTTAAAACTTCAAGCCTGACCCTTTTTTAAAATGTCTTCTGTAAACTATAGTGTAAATTGCCATTTATAAGAATAAGCCATGCTGTTCATCCTGGATGTTTACACACTATCTTTAATAGGTCAAGCTTTTTAATACACTATTATTATTTTGTTTATGAACAGGTGACTTAACAGAAAGAAGAAAAATACCTGCAGTTGAAGATTGATTCTTATTCTTTTGGAAAACAAAATTTTAATCATTTGGTTCCACAATTGGATTTCATTAGATCCAAAATTGCCTCAGTGGTGTGAAAAAAAGAAGCACAATTGGCAAGTTAATACATTTCCAGTCATTCCAATAGATTGTGGTTAAGTTTTAGATGTGCAATGTTCATGACTGCTATGAAGAAAATACCTTCCGGAGAGTCCTGGTTTTTTAAGCACCTTCCCTTCCTGTCCACCCATTTACATCCTTTTAGTGGCCAGTTAAGGTAGGGGTCACTATGAGTTGGAAAAACACTGGGTTGACAGAGATCTACTGTGAGCTGTATTGAAACAGCTTTGAAATCCATCAGTCAGTGCACTGATTAGTGATCTGCTTGAAAATATAGAGCTTATTCCCTATCAGCTTATATAAATAATGTGACGCTCTGAAAGAGAAGTTTATTGTGCTAGCTGTAGGAAAGGAATTAAAATCAGGTGGAAATGCACTGAAAATTTCCATATTACTCATCTCCAAAGGAGTTTTCATAAAGATGTTCAACAACATCTAAAAAGATACATGGAAATACACCTTTTAATGTGTTTACCACACGATGATACATTTAACAAGGCATATTTTTAGAAGGCCACACACACTTAACTTTGTAAGGTTTCAAAGTAAAATTTCCATGCTTTTAAGTAGCTCTTCATAATTGTGAATTTATAATAGTTTGAATTTCATGTGCAGCTTTGTTTTATGGGAAGCAATATTTTGTAATTTGATATTTCAAATTATTTTTAGCCTTTTGTTTGAATTATTGCTTGTTACTATAACTCCACATGACTTTCCTATTGAGAATCAAAAATCAGGATTCAGTAATAGGGATGCATATCATAAGTCTTTCATGTACCATTTAAGTTTTTATGCTCCACAGTGAAAAAAAGTGTGCTCTACAAATATGCAGAAAGTAGACAGAAAAAAAAAGTCTCCTTTGTTGACATTTCACCGTCTTCACATGCTTTAAGTACAACTTTGGGAAAGAGTCTTTGTTATTGTCACTAAAGTTTTAATGATATGTTTGTAGCTCTTAAGTGCTGATTTTGCTGAAAGGGAGTCCTGAAGGATGCATTTATATGAATAGAGCTGTTAGGAATTTTCAGCAAGACTGCTGTTGGTTTGAATGAAAATAGATATATTGGGCCCAGTTTACAGTACTCTGTAGGGTGTAATTCTGCATAAGACAGATATTGGTCTTTATATGATGGGAATTTAGGACTGAAGTACCAAAAAGAACTTTATTTTTTTCTTCTGAGGCAATTTTCTGACTTAGAATTAGAAAGCAGTCCCAGGGTAAAAGTCCTCCATGTATATGAATTGGTGTTCCTGGAGAAAAAGAAACGCTCAAATCTTTGTCACTTTAAAATGTTACTGCCTTTAATTATGGGAGAAAAATTTCTTGTAACAGATTATATAAAACAATCTTTCTGCTTAAATGTTGGTGGTATGTTTATTGATGAGACTAGGAGCTGTTGCACAGCTTTTTCACAATACAGTGGTTTTATTCTGGCACCATTCTCACCCCTTTTCTGAGAGGTTTAGAAGCAATAGAGCTAATATATTAATGTAATCTTTATCCCAAAGGGGGTTGTTTGGGGGAGGTAACTGTTCTTTTCTGATACACCTTCAGTAAAGCATGCTTGTAACCCAAAGAATGATTGATTTGATTGCTAATATATTTAAAATATTTTAAAGCAAATTTGCAGATCCTAAAAAAAAATCATGTATTAATTATGCCTTTGGATGCTTTTTTCTTTTTCATTTATTAATATTTAGAAAAATATAGGAGGATCTAGTGTTAAATTAGAAACAAAAACACAAAATTTCATTTGTCAAGAGGGGTTTGCTACCTAGTTACTGTTACTGCTGGAGTTCCATTAAAAGACAGGCTCACTTATCTGAGCCATGTGGTAATAAATCTCTAGCAAATAATGGAGGGTATACAGATCCCTATAAATCCTGTAGGGGTGCAAGATTCACAGCTTTTAACACATTCCTCTATAGCACTTCAGAAGGTTATCTCACACTTGAGGATAAGTAGGTTAAATAAAGCAAAGCCTTGTTAGCAGCCAGCTATGCTCATTCTCTGGTTAATAACTTTCTCCAACATACCCATTTTCCTGCCTTGAGATTCAGGTTCCTACTTCCAACAATATTACAAATTACCACAAGCCATCAACTTTGGCATTACGACAAATATTAAAATTTCAAATAACTATAGTCTGCTTGACCATCAAGATGAGATTACCTTGAACCCTTATGTTCATTTTAAAGCTGATCCAGAACCCAACAAATATTATATAAGCATGGTTAAATATTTCTTCTTGCCCCTAATAAAAATGAACATCTTTGGTCTTAGTATTAATTTTGTATATATTTAGTTATGATGGTACTTACAGATGATCACAATTTCAGTTCCAAACTTGGCTGTACTCTATAGGTTAAAATATTTCATGGTTATATTTCTGTTAATATATCATTTCTGTATGAAGAATCCACAAATAGCTGCTCGCTTTTGCTGAATCAGTTTAGAAGTTAATTTACCAATCTAGTCTCAACTGCAGTATATTTAAAATAGGGAAACAAATATAGATGATGATCTGGGGATGTTTTGAGGTTACTGTTACTGCTCACTTAAAGAACAATTTTAAATATTTCTCCTAATGTAACCAAAATTATGTATATATAACCAATGCGGCATGCATAGAAAAGGATTGCTAATGATTTAAAATGCTGATAGTATTGTAGTGTAGCAGTATGAGAAAATGCCTGGCTAAAGAGGATTTTTAAAAGATGACTAATAGTCTCGCTTACTTGATATTTATTTTATAGTCTTGTTGAGTTTATGAGCAGCATAAAAACAACCATCCCTTAATTTTTCGTTGTGAAACAGAAACATTTCTATAAAATGCATTTTTAAATGGACTCTTGAACACAGTTATAATAGTTGATCGGATGTAGTATTTCTATAGTGGGAATTGGGCTTTTCTTATTACATGAAATCATAGAACATTTTCAGCACTTCCATGTACTCTGTATAATGGGGTGGAGGGATTCTTTTTTCTATAAAGCTGACCTATGTAGCAGTATTTGATAATATATGGCATGACCACTTTGTCATAAAATGTGTTTAAATTGTAAACACTTTGGCCATAGTAGAAACTAAGAATTAAAACTCTCAAATAATGGAACAAAACTTAATGGGCAGCATCCTCTCTGTTTGGAATGGGACCAGTATACGATTAATATAATTTTATACATTCCCTAAGATTCCATTTTTAAATTGCATTTGAGTGTGTTTATAAAAACTTAAGTCAGTGCTTTGAGCCTAAAAAAGTTTTTTTCACTACTAGTGGGTCCTTAAAGGCCCTGATCAGGGAGATGAAATTTCATATACCTTACCAAGTTATTTGTAAAAAATCTTTTTGAACTGCTGTAAAACATTTAAAATCCATGGCAGATGCATTGTTAAAATTCAACCATTTGATAATGAAAGCAGAAACCTTAAAAAGTTTTACCTAATTCTTGCACTGAATTTAAATGATAATATAAAGTTAAATGTGCATTTGAAACAGATTTTATTTCTCATTTATTGCTTAACATAGGAGAACTGTGCTTATTGTTAGAGAATTGACCCGCAAGATTTATTTCAGATGTCAGAGAGGTAAGAAAGTAGAAGCACCTTACTGTTGGAGCATGTTGCATTTATTTAGTGCTACTGAGCAATTCAGTAGTTATTTCTGAACTTTGCTGCAAAGTGCTCTTTAATTAAAGCACATAAAGAAGAGTCTCTGCTTAATTGCTTTGTAAAATGAAGCAATGGTATTTTTTATCCTATAAATATAGTCTAATTTAAAAGTTTTTCCTACAAAATGAGTTTATATTGTTGCCTAAACTATCACGTATGTAAACAGAGGTTTTTTAAAGGTGAGAGAGAATCTGGATTTCCTTCCTCTCTCTCCCTCTTTTCTTCTCTCCCTCTCTCCCTACCCCCTCTCTGTGTGTGTGTATGTTGCAAATGTTTGTCCATTGAGTTATTTCAAAATGTGCTCATCCTAAAATTTTCTGTTTTGCCCTCAGTAAATGTACAACTTGATATTTGATGAATTTAATTGATTGAATTCCAAATTTATAAATGTTTCTCCCCTTCAGACATAATGTATTATGCCACTGTAAGGTGCATGTACAGAAAATACCTCTGAGGTTGACATATTAAATATTTTATCAATGTTGTTTCACACTGAATCTCAATCAGACCTTAATTTTGAAGGTTATGAAAAGTTTGGTTTGTTTTTAAGTCAGGTGTAACTGAGTGGCTTAATTTGGGGATTTAAAGCTGGCTAGGCACCACCGTGGAAAGTGAGATTTAGGTGTTCACAGAAAGTATGGGTTGTTGGTTATACAGTTCAGTTTTAACAAAGGAAGTTTGGGGTTTTTTTAATTTGCATGTTCTATGATTAAAGAGTGTAACACGTTATTCTGAGCTTTTCCCAATACTAATTATATTGGTTTTAAGAAGGCTCAATCACAAGATGGCATTTTCCCTTCATTTGTGATCCAAGAGGGGTCAACAATACAACCCATACAGTGACTTCTGACTTTTCAATTTGGACAGAATCCCCATTGTCTCATTCATTTCTCATTGTACTGTATGTCTTACCAAGTGTGAACGCATAATATATAGTTTATGAAAAATTGAAGGCTAGAGATAATTTTGCATGAAACAAGCCCATTAGGGCTAATAAAACTGACATGTTTTTTAGCCTTTCTGGTTAAATGAAAAATTTAATGGCAAACCAATTCACCATTTAATAGCTTTGTGCAATATTATAATGGTAGAAACAAAACACTAGCACATTGTGCTTGGCTTTTAAGGATAGCTAAACACCATTACATTAAATGGACAATGTGTACAATGTATTGTAAATGCCAACTTTTGCAAATTTACAATACTTAAATATGCTCAATTAACATTCTAAAGTATTAAAAGTACAAAGAAAAAACTAAGCAAGCATTTATAGCAATACTATGAAATCTCCAATAATTGTTTTGACTGTTGCCTTTTGCTCTGTAGTGCAAAATTTCTGCATTGTAATTATTGTTTTGCTTTGTACTTCATGTTTTTTACACTCATGACTTCAGAGTTAAGTACTTGTACACCAAGTATTGCAATCACCTTTCTCTTCTTATACATGCAATGTAACAACATACAGTTTTGGTGCTTAACAATATTCCTTTTTTTTTCCTTAATAAAAGATATTTATTGAGTTAACCTGATTTTGTTTGTTTTAAGTAGCATTGATGATAGATACTGTCACTTCATTTCAAACAGAAGGAACATAGCAAATTGTGCATTTGTTAAAACATGTTGAACAGAATTCAGAGACTATCTACCCCTGTACTACTTCCTCTTCCCAACTACTATTTATAATAAAATATTTTAATTTGTGTTAGAATGGCCTTATTCATGCTGTTTCTGTAAATATACACATAGTTTGGAAATGTTGACTTTCAAAATTGGAAGATCTGTAAATGACCTAGTATTAATTTGTGGTTATCTAAATCAAGGGAGTTTTGGCTTTACACTTAAACACAGGAGTAGTTTAGAGTCTTAAAGCTGCTACTGTGTAGTCCTGACCCCCAGACTCACACATGTAAGGGCAGGTATCCTTGTGGAGGCTGAGGTCCTACATGCTCTCTAGCCTGAGACTTCTAAGAATCCTAGTACGTGTGTCACGCTTGCAGAAATCATGGTGTGGGTTGGCTTGACATGGTTTACTAGGTGGCCTCTTTTGTATTAGCCATCATCACTAAGTCAAGTGAAAAACGTCTCCTGGAAATCTTGCCTGACTAGGATGTCTTAGTTTTTGTGACTCTGTCACTTAACCTGACTTTTACTGAGTTCTATCAGTTTGGTGAAAACTCTATGAACTATTTTGCCATAGGAAGGTATTTGGGAGACATTTATATTCGTTGGTGCAAAAAAACCCCAACATTTCATCACATTCTGACAGTTACTAATTGATAACAAAGCTTAATTATATTCCCAAGCTCTCCATCCCCATGCCACATTATTACATAGATACCCTTTCTGCCCAGACCCCACAACTTTCTTACCAGAAATTTGTGACATTTTCTCCAGGTCACTTGTTGTCTTGCTTATTCATAAGATCCTCTTGCTCACCACCTGTGTGCTCTCTTCTTTGAAGCTGGCTATTTGTCAACAGTTTAATCTCTAACAGGCTGATGGCCCATTAATTCTCCTCCCATGTTCTTAAGGTCCATCCGCTCATAACTACCTCCTCCTCTTTTCTCCCTCCTTCCTCCCTCTCTCTGCTCTTCGCTATTATTGTGAATAACTCCAGGTACTCAGGCCACTGAGCAACTTCCTGACTCAAGTTCCTCCCTGTCACTGATTCCCATGGCCCTGCCTTGTGATGCATTCAGTAGATTTCTGGATGTCATGCCTCCAAATTGGCCTAGGAAAGCATGCACCAAAGTCTCCCTTCTAAGCTCTTACCCATTCTTTTCATTTTACATGGTCATTTCATGCCTCTCTACCTATACATGTGTCTGTCTAAAATGCTTCTTTTCCATGTGTTGACATCATCTAAATTCATCCATTGAGTGTTCATTTGGAAAACAGCTGGGCAATATAGAAAACCCTCCCTGTTTATCAACATTCTTAATCAGAACATTAAAAGTAGAGGAATAAGAAAGTTAAGATGTGAAAGGAAAAATAACAGAATCTTATTTAATCTTCACAATGTTCTATAAATTGTACTAATCATTTGAGGTATAAGAAAAGGATTTAGATATTAAATTATCCACGGTGACAGTAAATTAAGTGGCAGAGGGCTTTGCTTTAAAATCCCTACATTATCATCAACTTTACTCTTAACCCCCTAGTATCATCAACTTTACTCTTAACCCCATAAGAGCCACTGAATGAAGTGCTCAGTATTCAGTTCACGGTCTTGAGAAGAGCTCTTCCTTCTAGGATAAAATTAAATCTGTACCTCCTGTGTTGAGATGTGCCAAACAAACTCTTGATCAAGAAAAGATTTTATGAAGGATGGAAGCAAAAATATCAAAGGCATGAAGAGATGATTTCAAGTTAAGACAGTCACAGAAAAAAAGCTCACATCTCTTCAGAAGCAATTTATTCTATTATATGAATGAGTTATAGCAGATTGAAGAACTTCAGGCACTTCAAGAATTGGTCACTTGTAGACTGTTGTTACTGACTTCAATTGTCAACTTCTGTTATTGATATAGAGCTAATTTGGGAACTTTGTTCTCCAACAACATAATTTCTGCAAGGAGCGTCATAGGGGCATATATATCCCCACATATACATGCATATACGTGCAGGTCCTAGTGTGCCCCCTTAGCCTCAGTGATTTATGTGATTCTAGAGCTAGAACATTCCAAATAACTGCAAACAAGTCAGTTCCTTTGACCTTCAGTAAATGTCTTGCTATACCTCCCAGGTTATCTGGAAACCTTTTACATTGAAATTATGTTAAATAATGTTTTTATCAAGTCATTGAAAGTAAGTTAACAGTTTTAAAGAAAAACCTTAAGCAACTAAACTTACTAGCCAATTTCTGTCAGAAAAAATAGTTGCTATAGAGAACAATTAAAAAGTTACTTATTCCCAAGATCATTGAACTCCTTCCATCAAAAGATGTTTTGTGTAATCAAAGATGATAATTGGGAAGCCACAAGAAACTTTTTCTAGTGAAAAGGAAATAAAGTCTAGCAGGATTCAATCTTACAGTTTTTCCTAAAACGCATTAGGAAAGATTTAGAATAAGAACCCCTCTTCTGATTTTTTATTCTGATATTCTGCAGCACATAAATATAATTTTAAGCTACTAAATTAACACCATCAAATGACTTGGGAGGAGAAGTAAGGTGAAGAGAACAAAGTTTCCATCCATAGTCATCATGAGCAGTTCCTCATACCATCTTATTGAAGATTACAGTAGCAAAAGTCATACAATGGTTCCATCATGAAGTGATATAATTTGCAACAATGTCCTATAAATGTGTAGGCCAGAATAGTTTTAATGCTTAAAGACCCAGAACTGCTGAGTTCTTATTTGAGTAAATGTTGAAGTGTTCCAGTAGTTAGTATCTATTCAAAATTATTTGGTCTTTCCTACAAGCCACTTTATCATCCGCCTCTTTTCAGAAATATCAATAGGATGGTCTATCTAGGCAAGTACATGGGTCAGTTCCACAATATTTGAGACAATGTTATCTATTGCCTGTCCTGTCAGCATTGCTAACACTGCCAGAGAATAAACCATAAATTTATTGTGATACAGCACTCACTGAAATACCTAATTCTAATTATTTCTAGAGTTCATAACTCCTTCCTTCCTACATAGTCTTTCACCCTTTCCCTTGGTTCCAAAGTACATCTAAGTCATGGTGATGCCCATTTTCTGGCCTATATCTCTTCTCAGAATTAGATCTGTATGTATTCAGCAGCAGAGTGATCTCTTCATTTGAATTCCTCGTATACATCTCAAATATAACATGTCCACAGTGATTCCTCTGATCCCTACCCAATCAAAACCTGAATCTGGGCCTTCCCGGTGGCGCAACGGTTGAGCGCTGGGTTGCGAAGCTGCCTGCAGCCTCTGCAGTGCTGGTTCGATCCCCGGCTGTTCCCCGGCCACTGGAGGAGGGTCCCACATGGCCCGCAGATCTCTCCTGCCGCCCGCTGCTCCCCTCAGCAGTGTACTTTGGTCCTTCTGCCTGCTCTGCTCCCTGCTCTGGCTCTGGTGAATTCTCTCACCCTCCCGTGCTTCTGACTGTACACAGTGCTTGTGTAAATAAATAAATCTTTAAAAAAGAAAGCTTTAAAAAGAAAAAAAAAAAACCTGAATCCACCATTTCCAGTTTTACCCACTTTCACTTTTCATCTGGTTTTATAATTTAGACCCTAGAAGTTACCTTACTGCTTTTCTCACCCACACCATCCAAATACAAATCTCTAAGTCCTATCAAGCCAAACTGGAATTTACATCCAGCACACATCACTGCTTTCTCTGTCCCTTCCCACCCTCTTGTGCAGACCACCTTCCTCTCTCCACTAGACCACTACACTAGCCTCCTAAGTGATTTTTTCTACTGCCACTCTTTCCTCCTTCCAAATTCCTCTCCATCCACAGTAAAAGTGGTGAGATCAAGTCTCTCCCCTGCGTAAAACCCTCCGATTGCTTCCCAATGCATGTAGTATAAAATACCAAATCTCTTTCCTGTGGACTGGAAAGCTGGATGTGATTGGTCCCATTATTTACTAGCCACGTGGGTAATCTCTTAATTTAGAGATTAAGAGAGTAAGATGTGGCATACTCCTATAAGTCTTCTCTTCCCTTTTTTAAGTGTAACCAACAATTTTGTGTTCCCTCAACATTTGTATGTCGAAGTCCTAACTGCCACTGCTGCCTTCCCCCACCATCTCATCATTATGTGCCCTTTTTTGGAGATAGGGTCTTTACAGAAGAAATCAAGTTAAATTAGGATGGGCCCTAATCCAGTATGGCTGGTGTCTTTATAAAATGGGCAAGTTTGGATGCAGATAAGTGTAGAGGGAAGATGATATGAAGAGACAACATGATAATGACCAGCTACAAACTGAGGAGAGACGCCTTGACAGTTATTTCCCTCACAACCCTCAAAAGGAATCAACCCTGCCAACACCTTGATTTTGGACTTCTAGCCTCCAAAGCTGTGAGACAATGAATTTCTCTTGTATAAGCCACCAGTCTGTGGTACTTTGTTACAGCAGTCCTGAGAAACCAATCCACTATCATCCAGTTTTCCATATCCTCAAATAGGATTTGCTACCCTCCCTCAAGTGGATCCCTGCCATCCTCCAGCTCAGCCCCTTGTGTCGTAGGATCATGCTAACCAGATTATCCACTTACGTTCCCGACATTTTCTGGAACACTGATAGGTGAAGCATAAAACTAGGTCTAGCCAGTGAACTGGAAGCAGCAGTAACGTGTGGCACTTTTCGCCTGAAGCAGTGGACAGACCATAGAAATTACTTATTGAAGAAGATGAAGATACCCTCTATCACTACTTCCTCTCTACACTGTATTAGAGATACTAATATTGCAACTATGCAAGAAAAAGAAAGGGTAAAGAATTGAAAAGAAAGAAAACACATGGGGGGGAGGCAGATAAGATTGTGTAGGAAATCCAAGTTTATAGATAAATACAGAAATTAAGATGTTTAATAATTCATAAAATTTAATATTTGAATATCAACTAAATTTTTACAAACTAGTATCAGTTTAAATTTTAAAAAGCTATTTTAAAGCACTGAATCAATGAAAATAAGACATCTAGTGGGGGAAAAGGCATGAAACTTGAATAGCGAACTCACAGAAATAAGTTAAAATGGCCAATGTG